TTATAATTTTAATTTTAACTACTTCCATTCTTCTTTTCAATCAGAATACATATAAAAAGTATATATCAAAACGCTTTAGCAATAAATAGTAGCGGTAAATAGTTTTTAATATTTATACAATCTGTGGGCTCTTTTTCGGGGATAATAAAAGCAGGAAATATAATGAAATATGATTTATTACTAAAATCGCGAGATATATACATTAGGCCATACACATAAGAACATAATCTTTTTCTCGTAAGTTTCTCGATATCTCTCGATAGAGCGGAACAGCACGTGCGATTCTTCGTCGTCGTAACGGCGAGAAATCTCTTGCGCGATTACCGTCTTAAAAACAGGCGTAGAGGTACATATACTTGTTTCCGACACTTTTACTGTGTGTGTATCTGTATGTGTCCACAAGCTCGTTACAACTGAAAGCTAACACCGAGTATATCGTCTTTTTTTTTTAATAACTACATCTCACGCGCCTCGCGAGAATGGATTTACGGGGTTGCGCTTTCGCGTCAATGTATTTCTTATTTACCTGTATTGGCAATGTCCCCGATACTTATCTCGAGACGCGCCATTTGAACACTTCCACAATATATGGCTAAATACTTCCGCTATCTTCCTGTCGGATGCGAAATTGACAACCCGCGTCCGTTTAATCACGCACGAGACTTCCGGGATACGAAGTCCTTTGTCCCCTCGAGCAATTTATTATTATACATTACAACGCAGGTATATACAGGGATATATATACAATTCTCGCTCGGCCAACACCGCCGTAAATATCGGAGATATGTCCTCGATAAGTCGCAAAACATACTGCCGCCCAACGACACTTGAAAGCAAATGAAAAGCTAAGCCTGCTTCGCCGTAATATGTAAATGTAAAGTGCCTCGCGTTCACCTGTCGTAATCGCAAAAGACATATCAGCTATATACATTTTTTGTACGTCGAATACGGTTAACTATGCGGCGAAAATTATTAACTATATGGCAAACCGTGATAATTGGAGCTCGAAAATAACAATGATTTATGTAAACTGCGGATTTTATGCATCGCCATTTGCATTGGGATTTATCGTATCAATGAAATGTTTTAAATTACTGTATTAAAAAGCGTCCAATCGATCGCGTTCCTTATTAAAAAAAAAAATCTTGGTCTGATGGAAGTATATGGTAATAATAGTAATTATATGTAAAACTTGCTGATTTGTGCGAGTTAATAAACGAGCCTGATCAAAACGGCCGTTTTGATTACTTATTACTTTTTAATCATACTTCATAATAACCTGTACTTGTTTGCAGTTTTTAATCAATATTAATGATGTATGTATGCACATATTTGAGAAAAGAGTCCATATTGTTTGGATCCCAACGGTTATTGATTTTTAATTAAGAATCGCAGAAAAAAGGAATCAAAGGAATGAATATTCGATGTGATGTATTATTGTAACGTATACGTAATTAAATACGGTATATATATATATATATATATATATGTGTGTGTTCCTTCGTACTGTCGCAATGACGTGTCATCTTTTTAAGCCATGACGTGCACGTTGCGAGAATTAATGATAAACTCTCGCGCTCGAAACTTTACCTCGTGCCTTTGAAAGTTCCGACAGGTCTTTTGCATGTCAAAGAGACACCACGATCGCGCGAAATTTTCAACACGCGCGCCGTAATAATTCGTTAAAAAAAAAAATACATATGTATTCTTTCTTTTTCTCACAAATTTTATTTCCCAAAACGTATTCCGCTCGCGCCTGATTCAACATTTGCCGATAAACCGCGCACAACAGCATTCCGGCGCGATTTACGGCGGTTTGAAATTGCTATAAACGAACGGCTGTAGACTCGCATTCCTTTTTACAAGTTCTCGCGACTTCTCGTATAAACGCGGCGTATACTGCAAACACAATCCCATGATCGCCTTCTTGCCGTTATATAGGAAGCTATCGGTTCTGAAACGGGAAGCGTGAAACTGGAAGAGCTTACAAATACTGTCGCATTTGTTGCGCGTTGTTGTCGATAAAAATGCACGCCGAAAGAAAACGAAACAAAGTGAATAAGGTAATGTCCTTTCTGCATATGTGTCTATGATACTTTCATATCGCTATATGAGCTATATCGCCAATCGTTCTTCTAAAATATTTAATATATCTAACAAGAAATTGTATGCAAATTTCGATAAAAAAAGCTAAAAGAACAAATTGTATGAGAAAATAAATTACACATTAAAATATTTCATATTAAAAATGGTTTTGCGTACTATTATAAGCGGATTCTGTGCATTATGAAAAATTATTGTACATACGATTAAGGACACGGCAGAAGTCTCTATCGTTCAAATGTCTGGAGATATTTGAATACTTTATCGAATCGGTCTCGAAAGTGCTTCTCAGTAAACTTTAATGAGCGATTTCTTAATCGTATAATCTCTCGTATATGAATATTCTTTCACCTGAATTTATCGTAAGAATTAACATCCATCTTTTTCAACTATAGATCTGCTTCGTTGAAACATCGATGTCCTTTGAACGGAGAGGGTTTCGTTGATGCTCGCGTTCCTTACGAGAACCTGGCGTGATATGATATTATATTTATTATGCGACACACGCGATGTTGATCCGTCGATCGTGGCAATACACGACTATACATGCGAGACACGCAAAAACATACCGTAGCACGCACCCTCGGGTTGCGGAAATGTAACAACTATTAATCTCGGGTGAAAAAATAACGCATTTCCACGGAGAGTGTTGTATAAATATCCACGTCAGCTGTATGTACGTTGAACTTTGCAAATTAATCGGCTTACGCGCATGAATCATATTTTCCGATCGTTCGCGATCGCTGATGGCGGCCGCTACCGTTCCGTGTGTGTATGTTTATATATATGTTTACATAACAAAAAAATAAACACTCACGCAGCTCTTGTTACGGCTCTCGTGTTCGTTTCGCATTTTCTGCACGATTTCGTAGGTATCAAACGCATAAGGTAAACAATAGGCCGATAGGCTCCTTAACTTCTCATAGGGCTATGATTGATGTAAAAATCATATTTCCAATTTGTTAATTTTTAGATATATTAATTAATATTATGAATTTGTGATGATTTAATTAAAATTAATTAATCACAACGTGATAAAATTATATATAAATTATAATTATAGCAGGAAAGTACCCAAAAAATTATTGTCCTTATCAGTAAATTGAATATAAAATAATAAATAATTTTTAAAATTTGCTTAAAAACATTAAGCTAAAATATACATAATAATTTTCTCCTCAATTTTATAAATTTATTTAAGCTTGATATTCTTACCAAACTTCAATTTCACATATTTTAAGAATTTTAATAATTCTTGAAGAATCCTTAAACAAATTACAAACAGATGCGAGATGATAATAAGAAAAACTTGAGCATGTATTTTGATATATAAACATTTTGTAAAACAATAAATAAATTTTTTTCAATGCTTACCATATTTTTTCCATATCGTATAAATACGATTTTGTTCAGCATTACTGTTTACCCTAGTAGCAAAATACTTTTCGTCGCGCTTATCCACTGAAGCGGGTTTTTGGGCGTAATATTGTATTATCGTACGCAGAGTAAAAGGAGAGAAGGAGCGTCTATGCAATTGGATATCCGAGTTTCTTCTTGGCTTCTTACATTAATCACACACGTACCAATTAAAAGTTATAATTATAATGAAGGAAGCTTACGACGGGGCTCGATAAAAACGTCTATCTAAGGATTGTTATATTTACACTCGGTCGCTGAACGATACAATCGATAATGATTGCATCTCGACGACAATTGCTGCGCCCATTTATCACTGACAACGATATCACGTCGAGAGGATTCTCGAATCTTGTGGTGCAACATCCTCGACGTTTCTTTTTCAACAGAGTTATGATTTTATGAATTTATATTACAAAACAATTTGCATATAATAATATTTTGTTTTTAAAGCTACTTCCCCGAGATATATTTTTCGTATACATTGTTATTTCTGTATTTTTATTGAGATAATTCTTTCAATTACGGTTTCTGCAAATATAAGCAAAAGAAAAAAATACAAAACATAGAATTTGCGTACTTATTATTTAAAAAATACTGTAGATGTCAAAGGCGTTGCACCATAATAAAAATTGCACATGGGAATCAATATACGTCATTATCTATACTGCCGGATGCATTTCTAGCTCGTTATATTCTCTTTTATTTCACTTTTTTAAATTCTCATTCTCTAATGTTATATTTCTGGTACGGCAGTAAGATATATTTATTCTTCTTCTCCTTGTTTTCGACGAAAAATCTCATTTTTCATCTATAATTCCGATTGACTGCATTCCTTCTTTTTTTGAAGTATTAGAAAAATGAAACGTAAAAAATACAAATTTCTGGGGTTCAAATTCACAAAAAAAAAAAAAAAAAAAAAAAAAGAGTTTCTTCTTGGCTTCTTACATTAATCACACACGTACCAATTAAAAGTTATAATTATAATGAAGGAAGCTTACGACGGGGCTCGATAAAAACGTCTATCTAAGGATTGTTATATTTACACTCGGTCGCTGAACGATACAATCGATAATGATTGCATCTCGACGACAATTGCTGCGCCCATTTATCACTGACAACGATATCACGTCGAGAGGATTCTCGAATCTTGTGGTGCAACATCCTCGACGTTTCTTTTTCAACAGAGTTATGATTTTATGAATTTATATTACAAAACAATTTGCATATAATAATATTTTGTTTTTAAAGCTACTTCCCCGAGATATATTTTTCGTATACATTGTTATTTCTGTATTTTTATTGAGATAATTCTTTCAATTACGGTTTCTGCAAATATAAGCAAAAGAAAAAAATACAAAACATAGAATTTGCGTACTTATTATTTAAAAAATACTGTAGATGTCAAAGGCGTTGCACCATAATAAAAATTGCACATGGGAATCAATATACGTCATTATCTATACTGCCGGATGCATTTCTAGCTCGTTATATTCTCTTTTATTTCACTTTTTTAAATTCTCATTCTCTAATGTTATATTTCTGGTACGGCAGTAAGATATATTTATTCTTCTTCTCCTTGTTTTCGACGAAAAATCTCATTTTTCATTTATAATTCCGATTGACTGCATTCCTTCTTTTTTTGAAGTATTAGAAAAATGAAACGTAAAAAATACAAATTTCTGGGGTTCAAATTCACAAAAAAAAAAAAACAAAAAACAATCTAGTTTCGTTAGTCATCTTACGTTCTATTGCATTTCTATTGAATGTATTTTTATAATTTGACAAATTTAATTCAAAATTTATTTTATGATTGTAAAAGAAAAAGTTTATTCTCCAAGTATATCACTAAAATAAAAAGTTAGGAAAGTTTCTTCACATTATCGAGAATTTGAATCCCCGAATACGACCGATTTGAATCTATTTCATGAGTCATGACGCAGATATCGACTCCAACGAAATCGATGCTTGCCGAGGAGGAATTTCTCGTACGTGCAAGAACTTCATGGATGTGTCCACTTGATTATATATCGCGTACTTTCTTCCGCGATTAATTAAACTATCTAAGATTATGTGTGTCGGGGAGATATGGGCACAAGATACTCTCGAACAAATCGTTTCTCATCCAACTCGATACTCTCCGGTCTAACGAGAAAGCGCCGCGACGTAAAAAAATCACGAGGATCGTTTGCTGTTACAATAACGATTGATAAATCTGACTAATATATCCTCCGATTTTTCTCGTCGCAGTTCGCTTCGTATTAAGATATGATTGTCTTTCATCACGAAACTTTTGTTGCTTCTCGCCTTTTGTTTTTTTTCCGTGAACCGCTTTCTCTCCCTATCTTCTCTCATGTTAGAATCGACCCCCTCATCAAAGGATCTACACGGGCAGCAGAAATCGCTGCAGGGCCGCTGCCGCCAGCAGACATAGCGAAGGTGTCGTCAGGGTGGCGAGACCTCGGACTGCAACACAACGAATGAAAAGCTTAGAAATTACACAGATATTTTTTTCCATTTATCTTCGATAGAGGCTGTTAGTGACAATTTATTTTATAACTAAAATGGGAAAATTTACAACTTATTTAATTTATTTAAAACTTGTTAGAAACTTCTAGTGTAATATGTCTTTATCATTTATAAATTAATTACTACAAATTGCCTTATTACATTGCTCTTATACATTTTTTTTTAAATATTTTTTCTCGTGTTTGGTTTAGTGACAATTGAGTCTAAAAAGGATTTTGATTTTAATTGGAGTGACAGTGAGATATTAATCGTGTAACATTCACAATTATTCCAATCAGTCAGACGAAGATAAAGATTACATTATAATATAAATAGAATAGAAAAAACATCACTTGCCGCAAATTTATCGTTGTCACATCGGTACGAAATGACATGAATAAAGTGAATACGCGAAAATATGGTTTATATATATATATATATAACTCTAGAAATTATATATTAATCTATTTCGTGTGTGTATGTGGTTTGTAAAAATAAATCCATTCACCATATCATAATTTAAGTTAATTTCTGTTAATAAAACTGGAAAAAATAATACTAAAACTAATATAAAACTCGCTATATAGACTGTTTAGGAAAAAAATGTGAATAACATAGTTTAAAGATTCGTGTAAGTTGTGTATATAATTTATTTACAGGATCTGCAATAATAATTAAGGATTCTAAATAGATTTTTCTTCGAATAGGAGACAGCCTGGCATCGAGATCGTTGCTTTCGTAGCGCACGCGTGCTTTGAGATAACTCAATAAGCTACTCTTCTTTGGAGATGCCTTAGTTTAGCTGAAACTTTCGGATACATCTCGTAACGAGATGAACAACTTTGCGAACGTTATTCTCATTCTTATACTCCCTACTACGCATTATTAATACCGATAACTTCTTTATTTTAGTTTTGTCTTTATTCGACTGTGCCAAAATACGCGTAACAACGTAAAAATCTAACAGAGAAAAATGTGGTCATTGAATGAAAAATCAGTGCGCTCTATGTATATATATAATGTATTACAGTGAGTGTCGTAAAATACGTCACGCAAAAAATATTTTTACCACAGAAATGCTTCCTACTCACGAGAACATAAAATATTATACATAACACTGGCACATTAATTCATCGAAAGAAATTATAATAAGCCAGGACACAGTCTCACTATTTCAGTCACGTTATCATACTTTGTTATAATAAAAGTAATAAAACAATCCTTTCCCCCTTCCAATAGTTTCTCTCGCGTTGACGAGAGATCATTCAACCGTAATAAAGCCGAACGAGAAACTCGCTACGTCTTCTGTTACGACATAAAATAGGAATATCACGGACATGTGACAACTTGACCGTCATACATCGTATGAAAAAGCAAAACAATGTAACCGCTATTCAGGTAACGTAAATCAGATAGACAATACCAGTCATCCATATGACAACTCGAGAGTCCTGTTCAGTTACTAAAAGTCATCTAACTACTCGATACAGTTTTTCAGTGTTATTTCATATTCTCTCTTTCTTTTTTTTTTTTTTAGTCGGGAACAAGCCAACGAATACGTGCGGTATTTCTATCCACGCTTCGAAGAGAACGGCATTCAGCTCATTCCGGAAATATAAAGAGAAATACAATATCGTCGATATAACATAACCCGGCTGGAGTTATTGTCGGTTCACTCTCTCGCTGCGTTTCGATATTATTTGTGAAAAGAATAAAGTTTTGCGTATAGTCTTTCCGCTTTTCATACAAAAGTTACGCATTGAAGTATATGATCGAGGGTCGCTACCATCTGTCTCGAACGTGTCAACGCTCTGCTATTATTTCTCTCTTGTGATTTTTACGAAAAAACGTATGTGATGAAATCTCTGGAGGTATTCATATCCTAGCGCTAAAATTTTATCTCGTTTTAATTTTTTGTTTCTTATATTGTATTTTGCTTTATATTCTCCATTTTTGTAGGTAGGATTGCAAACACGAAAATGACATTCAGTAATTATGTTAATTGTCGGTTTCATGTTTTATTTTATAATAGCTGCTTAAAAATATGTGTTTACAATTCCTTTTTAAATATCTGATTTAATTCGTTATTTTCATTATTAAATTACTAAATTAGTAAATTAGTAATGCGACGAATATTCTCGTGTAACGTATAATAAATACGTATAATTTTACTCTTTATAGTACAAACATAATTACGTAATTAGCAAAATATACAGAAACGAAACATTACGAGAATATTTTAAAGTGACGAATTAACTCATTTTGTTCAGTTAAAATGAATTAAAGATAGCCAAGTCGGACACCACGGCGGGATTGACGATGCCGTGACCGAGTTAAATAGCGACTAGGTTAAAGAAGGAACAAGGGGAAAAAAAGGGGGGAAAGGAGGTAAGATAATTCAAAAAGTCGCGTAGAGGGAAACCAGAACGAGGGAGCGAGAAGCGACACAGGGAGCGATAGGGATGGCCGTTGATAGAAAGAAAACTGATAGTTGGCGAAGGTTCGAGCTATAAGGTAGCTACCTCGGCGATAAATGCAGGAGGCGTAGCGACCGTCGCGTAGGGCGCTTCCAGGAACGATTCCGCCTAACGAGAAAATCGAAGATCGTTAAGAGCAATTTCTTCGAGTCGTTCGGCGTCTTTTCCGGTTTGCCTTGCCTCTTTTTACCTGTCCTCTCCTTCCTGCCTGCCCGTGCCGTTCGATCTGACTTCACCGACCGACGCTCTATCTCCTTCCCTCTCTCGCGTGAAAGTAGGTGCTCCACTGCGTGTCCGTTACCCCCTCGCGTTTATTTCTTTTACCCTTTTACCCCGTGTCTCGTGCAACGATCGATATTCAGAGAGGCCCACTTATACAATTAGGCCGAGTGCTATTCGGCGGGATATCTAACGACAACAAAAGTATGCGATTCTTCCTCGCGTTTCGTTCGCTGTTACAATGGATATCCTCAATAATTCTTGAATATATAACTATATGGTAAATAGGAGTACCGATCGCGACAGATGTTATAGAGGTTATCATCCAAGAGTGCTATTATTCAAGTAAATTCAGGAATTATTTATGAATTGAAAAGAGGAAATATATCTTCATGTCCCCGCAAAAACTCATTATTATTATTACGCTAATCGTTCCAATTAATCTCTAATTTTCGCGAAATTGAATAAATTGGGGCTTTTAATGTCATTGAAATTTTACCCTCGAGGCACCTCGACTAAACAATGTGCGAATTGGCTCAACTTATGACCGGAATATTTCTAGACGCGACGCGCCGCTATTGCCACACAAAACGTCCCGATAACTGAGCCGCGTTTGTATGCGCCGAAATGTTTGTCGATTTACAATTGCGTAGTTATACGCGGAGCTAGTCAAATGCCGCGTATTATATGCATTGTAATTCCCTCAGCTTGCCCGCGGGATTTGTATTGCGCGGCGTGACGCGATAGAGCATGCGGCTAACGCGCATTTGATTATTCTCGTTACGCATTCGTAATGCATGAATAGCTACGATCTCGTGACGCATTCTCAAAAATCGCACGAAAATGTTTATCTTCCGATCGCAATGCAATTGTTATACAGTTGAAAGAAATTTTATTTCGATCAATCACTTGCGCGACACATATACATAAGCGAAATAACTTTTCAGCCGAAAATATTTCTCGACATATGTCTCTCTCATTCTCAGCCAATTATGTCGCAAAGTGGCAAATTATTGATTATCTCTTTTTTTTTTTATTTTCAGTATACTGTTTACTTTGTGTCATCTATAATCGTTTCCGACATTTTAATGCCGACAATTCAGCGATTGTAACTGTAGCAAAAATATAGAGCGCGCGACAGGTAATAACACTCTCTAAATTACAAACGAGAAACGTGTCCGCCGCAGGTGTTCCACTGGTTGCGTATTTTTCGACGTATTTTTCACCAGCGGTGTACAATCGTGTACAAATGTGGTAAATCGTTGATTACCTTTGTGAGCCTAATAAAAGGGAGATACACGCGCTCGAAGTGGTGTGAATCGCTGGCTGATCGGCTATGGGGCTCATTTTGGCAAAATTGACCCGAATCGAAGTACGATGCTCTAAGCGGAGAGTGTGCTCCACGTGCGCATCTCTTTCTCCCTTTCGCTCGGCTGTTGCCATTGCGATTTCGACAACCGGTCAACTGCGAGTGTCTGCACGTTCCCACGAAAAATAGTGTGCTTACATCACAACGAAATATTGTCATCGCACCTCGTGTAAACGAATGTCCTCGCAAAAAGTCGATTTATGGTCCATCGAGCGAGCCGAAAAATACTATTGCGGTGAAACTTTTGTGATACATATATATATCGACACATATACACACACACACACACACACATACACGAGGCATATGTGCGCGTTGTAACGCCACGCGCGTATCGTGAATTTCTTATTGTAACTTGAATTGCGTGACGCGAGGGATTAGTTGATAAATATTTAACCGCGTTGCGCGCGGGCGTTGCCGGAAACGCGAGTACATACGAGACACACCACTGTATATGGTTTGATGAATCACGTATCCTCCCTCCCCTTCCCCTTCCTCTTCGAATTCGCCGTCGTTCCGATTTTCTCCCTCGACGATACCTCGTGCAAGGGAAACGAAGCGTTTCCGCATCGCCGTAATTTTGCCCTTATTGCGTGTATGCTATGCATGTATCGATTGCCTTATAACGCTGCTCCGAAAATGAAAAAGGTGGGTCGAAAGAGGAAGAACGGCAAGCAGGAAGATGCGCGAGTGAAAAGTGGTCGGAACTAATTTAAGTAGAAATTAAACGCAATAACCGAACGCACGATTGCAAACGAATCCGGAGAGGCGCGGCGAAGAAAAGGTTGAAGTAGCTGCAAGTGCAATTGGGCAGACGTGTTGCACGAGAACAGGTGGTAATGGTTGTAAATTATTGTCTTAATTTCTCTCCAATCCTTGCTTTTCCCACGGTTTGGTCGACTCGCCGGACCCCACCGGTCCCACGCTAATTTTGCATACCAGGAAATAATAAAGTGTATAAATTCCCTCGAATGGTTACTTTAAAAGAAATGAACAGAATATCGATAATTGAAATTCGCTATCACAAGTATAAACACTCTATTCGAAATATGACTAGAGTTTCTAATTTTATACGATCTATATTCGAGATAGAACTCTATTTATAATTTTTCGAGTTGAATAAATGTAAGGAATAAATCTTGTATTGGCAAACACAATCGTATATTCGAATTAAAATTATCATGTCTAATTATAGAGAGAGTACATCAGATGTATGTATATTCTACAAGCGCATGCGTAATTGTATTCTATTCTCACTGACTTCTCACTTTCAGATCCACCGGTTTATTATTATTTAGCTATATGCATTCACATATATACATATATGTGCGAAAATGATTTAATTCTCAAATTCTCTCTTGCATGAGGTATGATTTATTCTCGGGATCAGACTACTGCTATTTCAAATTATGTACATGATTAAAGATTTTGAATCATGGATTATAATTATTAAATTTGCCATTTTATTGCGCGTATTTGGCGTGCATTTTCCATCTAGTAAAATAATACATATAGAAACAGAAAATTTAAATGCAAATATTAATTTTATATATATAATCTCCTGATTTTGAGCAAGTATGCTTCTATATTTACATAGTATATCAAATTATACATAAAATTGTTCCTAACATTATCGTGTACGTCTAAAATGGATTTAAAAAGAGTGAAAATTATATAGATTAATACCACACGTTATTTTAAAGTTCTTTTTTTTTTACGCGCGTATTTATTTTATTTAATTGAAAATGGCCAGTTTTTCGGACTCTAGGTAATTCGATTATCGTTATCTTATCCACGCGAATTCAATCCCGACTTGTTTGCCGGTTATACATCGATTGTATGTGGCGTCATGTGAACTTACCGAAGACCTCGGTGTTACGCGTGTCGACGAACGGGTTGTCGATGTCGTGACTCGATCGCACCGTCGCCTCGCACCTGCAACAAGACATTCGATCATGCTTCGGAGTCAGAGCGATGGTTTTTCTGACCGATCAGACAAAAGGGTAAATTATCGTGCTTCATCGCGCGAAACTCACGTAAAACGAACTCCTGCTTGCGAGCAAGTGCGATGTATATTTATGGGGTATGTGCCGAGGTGACATAAGCAACGGCCCCGTCGAACGACGGAAATATACTACACGTTGTAAAAACCGATATTACCTGACGTTTATCTTGTCGCTTGCGAGATGACCCGGCTCTAACTCGAGCTCCAGACTCGATATCGTTGAGTACAGTCCGTGTTGCTCGAGCACAGTTTCCGAATCGGATCTCACCTGGAAAAAAACATCGTTCATTGCGCAACGTTTTCCCTTGCGGCGACCAAATCCAATTGCATTGAAAGTAACTTTCCGATTCCGAGCATTGGGAAAGAATGAATGTCGCGACTTTCCATCGAACATGGAAATCCGATCGATCGATTGCTATTACAAGCTTCGAATATGAATAGGTCAGCAACCGTCGAACTATAAATAATTTTTTTGTTATCACTCAGAATTGCTTGCGTCTATTTAGATTAGTTTTAATTTTACGTGATTAATTAAAACTTGGAAAATTGTCAAATCTGGAAAGACTAATAAATGGTTAAGAAAATGGAAAATGGAAAAATGTATATATTAATATATAACAGGGCAGTTATCTGAGAATAGAGCAAATTATATTCGTTTTTAGGAACCATTATTATTCCAATTTCTAATCTGTGTTAATTAATCAAGGTTCTCTCGGGACTACGAACCTTGCGTAAGAAGGACGACATAAATCGCAGAGCATATGGCGCTAGGATATGTGCGGGGTAATTATACATCTAATAAATCGTACACTAATATCGCGAGGTTCAAGAAGCAAGAGAAGAAGGGATACATGGGGTGCATCGTTGCATCGTCTCGTAGTACGCAAAGACATCGAAGAGGAAATAGGAAGCGTAAATGTGATGCCGCAGGCCGACGATAATACACCCGCACGTTGCTTCGACGTGATTCCGCCGATTCTACCGAGTGTACATTATGCAATGTGATACAGCAAACAAATATCGTTTAGAGACAAAGTTAATATCGGCGCAACAGCTTCAACATTATCGTGAACTTGATCAAGGGGTATTGTATTGAAATGAAATTAAATGTAAACAGACATGTTGACAAACAACGCCGATATTGCGGATAAAGTTCTCATTATTATATATGAGACACAGTTTCATATATATAGTAAATGTGTTATAATCGTTAATTCAGTAAATGTGTTTTATAAGAATTATCCATCGTTAAAAAGAACAGCTATTAAAAAATACAGGTGTGAAAAATATAGAACGACTAAGAAACTCTTCTATGTATGAGAATAAACGTTAAATAAATAAGTGCTCTACATAAAATATATTACGTATATTATATATTATATATTATATATAAAAGAAAATTTTATTTATCTTATTTGTATCTCGAAATTCGTTTAATATTGAATCCATTTAACTCAATCGCTTCCGATAAAAACGATAATAAACTTAAATTAAGGTCTCTCTGCAGAATAGCAGTTGCGAAAATGCAAAAATGATAAATCATATATAATCTGCTGCGGTTCTCGACAGGGAGTAGAACGGTTTATCCTGCTCTTGTGGATACAATTATTCAACCGCTAAAACCAGTTACACGTTGGGAAAACTTGACCATCAGATCAATAACAATGCGATGTAAATCCCTCGCCGATGATTCCCTTTTCTCTCTCGAGACATAAAATCTAAAATAGAGTCTACAACATCGATCGAGGGTAGATTACTATATGCGTATGTGTTTCGTGTACATAAATTCTCTCGAGAAAAAATAAATTCTGATTGTGTGGAATAGCGAAAAACAGCGCGAGTCGGAAAAAAATCTGTCATAAATCTAACACACTATCGAGATATTTTTAAAGATCCTTTTTCGCAGGGAATTATGCAACGAATGTAAATTTTTGCACCGAGGAAAAGTTATACGGCTTTCAAAACCAAGCATTGCATTAGCGGTTCAAAGAGGTAGGTCTGCGAGTCTGTCGCATTAGCGCACTTTAATTTCGCGCATGAATATTTAAGTGCCGCTTCCCGGAGTGTCAAAAGTTCGTCGTTTCGACGGACTGACAACGACGGTTACGAGAGCTTCGCGTAGGACTCACTCCACTTACCTTTGACAGAGATTTCCTTGCCGCCGAAATTGCAGAGATACTGTAACAGTACGTCCTTCCAGTAGCTGCGGTACGAGATCAGACCGAGATCCGATAGCGGCTTCTCCGGCGAACCGATCTTCTTCTCGACCCTCGTCAGCAAGTAACCTGCTCAAGCGGATCGGAAAATTCAATTTTTATTTATACCCGCAGAATGTGGTTCGATCTTACGCGAATACCAATAAAAGTCGCGCATCGATTAGTAATAGCCATAAAAAGAAACATAAAAGTGATGTGAGAAATCTTTTATGTTGTTATTATAAAGGAAATTATATCTCGCTAATTTATAAAATTACTTGGACTGCGCAAAAAAAATGTTAATAAATGACGATATTAATTTTCAAATTATAACCGATTAAAACGGAAAGATTTCTGTGAATTTTCTAGGATGTATGTGTGCATAATCGGATAACAAAATCCTATTATACACTTTAATTCGAGCGCAGACAAGTGGCTGACCGGATCCGACAGAGGAACGGACCCGTCCGCTCCCGGTTGAACGTCCGTTCCGCCTCGTTTGCCCGAAATATTCTACGGCGAGGCATTAAAGAAAAATATATAGACAGACGAGGGGGAGAAGAACAAGTGGGAAAGAGGGGAGGGGTATCCCGAGGCCTTTCGTGCGGCCCGTCTGCCCGGTGAATCGGCGAAATCATCCGTTGCGCGCATCCGTCTACGTCAATGGAATTATCCGATGGACCGGTTAAAAACCCATTTTCAAGGATGGGGGAGAGGGACGACTTAAATGCCAGATCCAGATCTACCGCAACTCGGAGAGCGAATGGGAGAGATCAATAACGCGGGCCGCGTGCGTTTAAGTGCAATCGATAAGCGCTCTTATCAGCGAGCCGACGCAGGTCGAAATCCAAGAGCGGACAGAATTTTAATTCGGATCTTGATCGTTAAAAAAAATTTCAAAGGTTCCCGAGTTCGAATTTATAATGGAACGCGAGACTGGCGATTCTCATCATACATACGACAATTTGTGCGACGCGAATCTGAAAATTATCCATCTTCCTATCATGACGGAGAGAGAGAGAGAGAGAGAGAGA